AGCATCCTAAATAGGGCCTTATTTGACATTTTTTTTCAAGTTCGAGGCCCTATCTGACCCTTATCCCTATTTTTAATTAATTATCTCACTTGTTGTGGGTCAATCTACGACTTGTGGTATTTGGCAGGCCATTGAGCGCTCCCTGACATCTCAAACTCGTGCTCGGTCTCTCAGTCTTTTGACAAAACTCCAGTCCTTCCGTCAAGGTGATATGTCCTTAGAGTCCATGACGGACGCTGGTGAATAGTCATTTGAATTCTTGTGAAGTCCTTATGAGAATTCACATACGCTATTTGAAGACCCACATACGCTCCCTGGCAGGAGAAGGCTCATGGTCAGGGTCCTTAGGTGAATAGTCATTTGACTTCTCACAATACCTAATATATATCCATAGACTTCTCAGAATTAAATTTAATAGAACTATATTGCTATTCTCAGAAGTCTCATGGTCCTTAGGTGAATAGTCATTTGAATTCTTGTTTTGGTGACATTTTTAACCTTAGATTATGTGTGTCATGGGGTCCATGCCCATATACTCTATCATAATCATATGGATGATTCAAATTCAAATGTGAGTACAACTTTTTAAAAATATGACCATATAATCGATGAAATAGTAAAAAATATCAATATGTTTCAAAGAAATGGTCGATGCATAAGGAATTCACTTTTTATGTATGGGTATTAAATTTGCAAATAACTTGTATCATTTTTTGAAAATACTAACTGTTAGTTTACACTTATCTAGTTTATATATTAAATTAGGTTTACATATGACTATAATCAAGTCACTGCTATTAGATAGGAATTGAATGGTGTTTCACCTAAACTATATCGTTATTCAATCAATGCTTAAAAAGATAATACTTTTAAATGTCATTGACTAAATTTTGATATGTGATATATATTTTTCTTTTTCGGGAATGCCCATATATTTTGTTTTGTGAATGCCCATATATATTAATATTACTTTGGAATAAAATTAATTAACTTACTATACATGTATTAGTGGTGTATATTAATTTCATGAACATTTCACTATAAATAGGAGAGCGCTCAAGACGTAGACATATTATTTACTGTAAAAGTTGCACGCCCAGTAAATTATATAATAACAATGGAGACAAAGTTCCTTTTCATGTTCATAGTTTTGATTGTCTTTGCAGTTGCTACTTCTGGTATGTATAATTTTTATCACTTCCTCTATTTTATACTATCTTCATAATGTTATTTAGTAAGGCAGGTTTTATACTTCAGCTATTAATAATATGGTTGTTCTTTGTTCCTAAAGGGTGAAACCTGTGATCGAGCAAATGGTGAAATTTATAAATGATGAATTTAAAAAATTGTATCCATACAAGAAATTGAGAATTTTTTTAATTAGATCAAAGATTATGATATAACATAAAATTGTATAAATTTTGTACGGGTTATACATGGATAACTATACTAAATTAAGGTATAATAAAAGATTACGCTATGATTTTAAATTAAAAAAACTTGATTTCTGGATTCATAACATATAATGTTGAATTTGTTGATTTTTGTAGGTGATACTATTACCCCAATCCACGGCGATTCCATTTGTCAAAAAGAGATCCTTGTAGGACAAGGATGTGAAGTAATTGATCCAACATATTGCTATGCTATTTGTCCAAATGAAGTTCCAAAAGGCAAATTCCAAAGTGCTAAATGTGGTGGTCAGGGTTCACAACGTGAATGTATTTGCTATTACTTTTGTTAGAAAGATCAAAGAATAACAATATTTGAATAAATGAAATTTCCAATTTCTCATCTAGGCGTTACTTGTTTTTAAATGGGTAAGTTCCCTTTTTTCTTTAATTACCATTCACTAATAAAGCTAAAGAAGATTAAAAACAAAACTCTTTCATAATTGGATTTAAAAAAAAACAAATATATAATAACTAGATTTAAATGGTTGATTAAAACCTATGTCCCCATATAACTAAGTATTATATATTACTATGTTTATTTGGATCTAGTCACTACAAGAGAGGACTCAACTCGATGTTGAAAGCAATTATACCTAGTCTCATTCATTAACATGTAATGTGCATGTGATGATACTACATACTACATAGAGCATTAATTATTCATTGTTGAGAGCAATGATGATAAACTTTTATTGAAAAACCGATGATGTTTGAAGTGATAAATAATGTCACTTAATTAGTTTTAAACCACACAACGCTATCAAATTAAAACAAGTCAGAAATGACCAAAATTTAGGCATTTAACGTGTAACGGGCAAACCAAAATTAATTCACATTAATAGTACTTGACATTAAACTAACATTAAAGTTCTAACTAAAATCCTAATAAATTAACTAAAATCCTAATAATTTACAATAATAATTACCACGCAGTATGGCGGTAACATTTTTACAAACCCATTAGAATAATATTAGTTTATATACATTTTAATTAACTAACAATGTAATTAAATTAGTATACACAAAACTGATATTTTTACAAACCCATTAGAATTATCTAACATTTAAATTAACCTAATAATATCAAATTAATTTCTAAATAAAAGGTATAAACAATTATTGCTAAAGTAATATATGTTTTCAAACGAATTTCAAATTTATGCACAATAAATATATTTAGATGAAAAAATGTACAATAATTGTATGCAAAATAAATAAATGACATACTTTATCTACAATATGCATTGAATCGGTGAATGACATCCAATCACATCCTTCAATTTCTCTACAAACATGTATTATACTATGAATAAATTTAAATCTATATCAATTGAATGAAACTTCTCTTGCATATATATAAAAACGTGTGCCAAGGATTTTATCGCGGATAGTTCCTTGACAACCTTAAAACCGCAAAAAAATATTAAATTTTGTCACGGATTCTGTTTGTCGGTGAGTGGTTGTCTCGCACGTGGTCTCGGATTTTATCCATGATAAAATTTAATTTGTCATGGAATTTGTCCGTGAAAAAAGTTTTTATGACCTAGGGGATCTATCCGTGACAAACTTGTCACGGACCATATCCGTGACAAAATTCCATGACAAAAACAATGCTTTGTGGTAGTGTGATATAGATCATTTTTGGAGAATATATACCCAAGTTGAATGTTTCACATATAGCCTATAAAAATGGTAGTGTAAATGAGACAAATATAATTATATATTTGATATATACATAAATAATAAACTTGTTTTATGTGGGTTTTGTCGACGGATTCTCGCACTGGTGACAAGGGGCGTAGCCAGAACGGATATTCACACCGGGCCAACTATACACTAAAAATGTTATATAAAAATTTTAAAAGCACGAATAGTGTGAACATAATGATTGAAATCTGTTTAAAAATTTCTGTTGATAAGGTCCAAGCATCAAATAAGTTGTCTAATTTCATCTCTTTTCTCTACCAGCCAATCACTTACCGTTTTCCGTTTTCCCGGATCCCGTTCAATTACAAGTGAATCAGAATCTACCTCCTCTGGAGTGGATGAGATCTTAGGAATTTCAATTGAGACATTTAATTATTCTTATCTATTTTGTGTGCTTGTACCAGGCTCATAAAATGAACACAATGTGATTTTTGCGTTTTAGGAAGTAGATTGAGTAGCCATACCTCCTAAAATTAGCAAAAAAATTAAAAAACTAATCAATATTTTATTTTAATTCCTGCAATTCATATTACTCCCTCCATCCCAATTGCAAAGCACAATACTGTTTACGATGTTCGACCGACGATAAAGCAAATTGATCCCTGTCAATGGTCAAATTAGTTTTAGAAAGTAAAATTTACCTAATCAGAAACTACATTAAAAACGCTACTAAGCCTGCAAAAAATAATTCAAATTTTATAAAATCTTGAAATATAAAGTAAGAGATAAAGAGTGATTTGTGTTGATCAAGTGAATAGAAAATGTATCTTACAAAATGGGACCGAGGGAGTAATATTTTAAGAAATTCACAAATCACATTAGCCATTCTTGATTTTCCATTTCACAACTCAAAGCACGCAAATCGATTGTACAGTCTAATTTTTAAGTTCTAATATGATCTGATCTGAATTTTTTTTATCTAATCTGATCTGAATATTTCTGATCTGATCTGATTTGAATATTTCTGATCTGATCTGATCTGAATCTTTCTTATCTGATCTGAATCCTTTTGATCTGATATGAATCTTTCTGATTTGATCTGATTTGAACATTTCTATTATTATAGTTATAATTGTAATTATATATATAATTTAAATATAATTATAATCATAATTATAAAAAATAAAATTATGATTACAATAATTATTGTAATTAAAATTTTAATAATAATAATAATAATTATACCTATTACACTAATTATAATTATACCTATAATTATATTTTGAATTATAAATATTTCTATAATTATAATTACACCAGTGGTGACTACCTTACATGAGAGTCTTTGCCTTACCTTGAAACTCTATAATATAGTTCCACTTTCAACTAGCTTAATATCAGGGTTTCTATGAGAAAGGAACCGGCTATTGATTAATTAGACACTCGTAGCAATAAGATATGTTATCTTTGTTCTGTCTCTAAGTCATATCACGTAAGTAATGAGTGAATTATACTACCTCCATCCCGTTGGAATGTTCCCACTTTCCTTTTTTGGATGTCCCAATGGAAAGTTCTCATTTCCCTAAATGGAAAGTTATCCTACATCAAAACAGTGTCCAAACAGTAAAATTTACACCCTGGTAAGTTTATTTCCTTAATATGTGTGTAGGTCAATTTTTGAACATTCCAACGGGACGGAGGGAGTACTTTATTTTTGAAATTTGACAATATAATCAATATTAGGCATCAAATACCGGATTAAGTAATTTTCTTACATACTTGTCAAATATTACCTAATATCTTACACACAACATTAGGTAATATATTCTACCTAATTTGTTCTTGCAAGAAATTCCACCCAAACACGAATCGTCCACTTCAAATTTTCAAATTACAGCATTAAGTCAGAGAAAAAAATTACGGAATACCAGTCATATGATCCCATCCGTTTCTGCCTGCAGCAAAAGGTGTAATCACAATTATTATCAATAATAGAATCCTGATTATGATCGTCCTCGACGAACTTATTAGACGTTGCATGGCGGCAGAAAACTGGGGGAATTCTACCTGATTTTGACCTCTCTGCAGAGAATCACGAAATATAAGGCAAATTGAAAGAATTTAGGGCATTAAGATGAAGCTGGACGAGGAATTCGGGTCGGACCGGGTGATCCATATAGAAACGGACGACGAAGAGAACGAAGCAGAAACTGCCAACGAGGATGAAGAGGATGACGACGATACAGAATCCGAAGATCATAATCGTGCCGTCCCTTCTAGAAACCCCTCCGACAACCTCAATGCCTCCGACTCCCTTTTTCATAATTGGCCTCAAAGCTATAGGTATGTAATTCTGGTTTCCTTAATTAATTTAGGCATACTTTTTCTTTCTTAACTCCGAACCCTAATTCCAAAAAAAAATCTAATAATTCCGGTTGGAATATACTCTCTTCGTCCCAAAAAGATTGGTCAATTGATTTTCTTGGTCAATGGTGTTCAACTTTGACCAATGATATCTTTTAATTCAAAATTATTTAAAATACGAAAGTTATACTAGTATAATCTTATTCTTTATTAAAAAATTTCTTTCATAAAAGTATAAAATTTATAAATTATGCAAAAATATAATACCTAACATCATTGTCTAAACTTTAACACCATTGACCAAGAAAAGTCAAATTGGCCAATCTTTTGGGACGAAGCTAGTACAATATAGATGATGTTATAGGATTCTATGACATCCAATAATTACAAATCAATATACGTAGTATAAAGTTTTTATATACTACTTCTATTCTTAAATAAGTGCAGCATATTGAATTTTACACTATTTACGTGTTCTACTTTGATTATCTTTTATTTATCAATGTATTATTATTATTTTTAAAAAAATATTGTTAAATTTGCCATATTATTAATTTTCAAAATCTATTTTTTTTTTAATTTTTTTACTAATTGAAAATCATTATTTTTATTGTCGAATAAAGTTGTGATTCGGCAAATGTGAAAAATTGACTGTTATACACTTACACTTATTTAAAAACGTAGGAAGTACGTCTTAAACAACCTATTATTTAGGGGTTTTCCGTGATTTTTCAAAGGATTGCTGAATGGGCTGATTGTTTAGGTTTACCCACATTCCAATACATGTAGTGAACTTTTTAGCTATAAAAAGCTTGGACAGAATACTGTGGTTGGTTATTAAGAGATTAACTGCTGGATTTAATGTTTATAGGCAGTCCATGGACATGTACACAACAGTAGTTTCACCTTCAGTAAGCTTCTTAAGGGGAAGTTCTTCACTAACTTCAGTATACAACAGAAGGCCACAATCTATGGTATTGGATCAATCTTCTTTGAGTAAACCTCTCATAGGAGAAACAGTTTATGTGAATGATGAAGAAGTCCCAACTTCAACCCTTCCTACAAAGATTTCAACTACCACTTCAATATCAAGATTGTCTTTTCCTGAATTGGCACCACCGCAGGAGTGTTCTTATGCTCAAGCACTGGCTAATTGTATGCAAATAACATCCAACAATACATGCTTCCTCCATTCTATTTTAATTGCAATGCTTGGACTTTTTGCATAATTCAGATATGTGACCATATTTCCTTACTAATATATAAATCAACCCATATCATGTAAAATGTTACTCCCGTCTCAATTTGATTTACAGAAGTTGACTCACACAAAAATTAAGGAAGATAATAAATAAAGTTTGGATTTACTATTTTGCCCTATGTCCGATCCCATACAGTAGATGGATTTAAGTAAATGGAAAGTGGTTAAAGTAAGGGTAGTTTTGTCACTTTATTATCCTTCCATACCTAAAATAGAAAGTAGAATATTGTTCGGGAAAACCAATATAGAAATTTTGCAAATCAAACTGGACATATATAATACAAATTACCGAAGTGTATATTCAAATTACCAACTTTTGCTTAACATGTTTACGGATATGTAATACAGTTCATTACACTAATGGTCAAGCTAGTATTAGCAAATGTGATAATCAAATTGTTGCAACTAAAAAACCAAAGTTAATACGAAGTATGTAGTATATGTTTTATTAGACTATTAGCATTACCTTAATTTCAATTATAATATTGGGTTGGTGTCATTAAGTTTATATCTAATGGACGATATTATTCTTGATTTTGTGTTCAGCTATAAATGTGTTATGTGGTATAGGAATTCTGGCTACTCCTTATGCTGTTAAAGAAGGTGGCTGGCTGAGCTTATTTTTGCTCCTTCTTTATGGAATCATTACTTGTTACACTGGGATTTTGTTAAAAAGATGCTTAGAAAGCTCTTCCGGACTTGAAACTTATCCAGATATCGGACAGGCTGCGTTTGGCAACGTTGGTCGTGTATTTGTGGCAGTAAGTGTGCTATATCATACCACTCATCTATAGCGCTAAGGTAATATTTGGTAAGCTATTATAGAATGTGATGCAATGTAATCAAATGCATGTGTAATTTTAATTAATATACTCTTGAAAATATATAATTTGGTTACATTGTTCACATTCCTGTATAGTGTACCAAACGTTTCCTTAGTAAACATACTACTTAATTATCCTTGTCCTTGTTGGTAAAATTTGAGATTTCACCAAAAAAGGTTCTCCGGATAGGAGTACTGTGATAAAACGAGTATACTATTGTATTATACTCAATGTTCTAAAAGGCGCTAGGCGCTAGTCGGGCGCCAACACAGCGCCTAGCGCCTAGGCGGCTAGGCGGGTGCCTAGGCGGGGATTAATCGGAGACATGAAAATTATAGTTTTATTAATATTTTTGCATAAATATGACTAGTAATGTTGCGTTTATGTGTATATAAAATAAAAACACACACATACACACTAACATGCATGAATGGTAAGTGTTTTCACATTTAATAACATATTACACATACTTACTTCTTAACTTCAAGTAATTCTACGTAATAATTATTAATAAATAATAATAACACTTAAGAATATATATAAAAACATGTATAGTATTTATTTTAATTCTTCATATGTGTTACGTTGTTAGAGTTAAAGATACATATATCTCTTAGAATACTAAACTAAAAAGCAAAATAAAATTTTCGATGAATCTAGATGCCTAGACGGCCGATTAAGCGCTCTAGGCGGGTAGTTAGGCGCCTAAGGCGGCCGACTAATTCACCTAGGCGCCAGATCAATTAGTCGGAGCGCCTTCCCGATTGAATTTTTAGCTGACATTTGGTATGGATAAACTAGACTTCATGAAGAACATGCTCAAAAAATTTCATCAAAAAATTCCACCGGGAAGTGCCCGAAATTCCCTCGGCCGGACGGCGGTTCCCATCAGGCCGGCTGAACATGAAAAGTCCTCTATATATATATATATATACTAGCTATTTTTACGCGCAATGCGCGAAAGCTAATGCCCAATAATCAATAATTTTCATCAATGATTCATATAAACATGTGATATTAATCAATATATTTTCATATTTATTAATTTTTTTCTGTAAATGATATAGAATATATTCTATTATTTGTACTTAAATTATTTGAAAGATTCTAAAATTGACTCCAAATTTATGAACTAATAATGATAGTAATGTACTAGTACTATTTTTTATTGTTATTTGAACTTAACGTAATAAAAATGTGCTTATTTGTAGTGTATTTGAAGTTAATGCACTAGTAAAGGTACTAATATAGGTTGTAACGTAGTGTTATGTTATTTGAACGTAAGTTAGCTAGTCAAGTTAATTTCTAACGGTGTAATGGCATTTTAGTCTATTAGAAAAATTTAGTACTATATTTTAGAATGAATGTACAAGCCTTTATGCATAAAAAGATTGACACAAATTAGGGATACTAACCCATATTCACAATTATAATGTTTTTAGATATATATAGTTATGGAGTATAATATAACAGGATGTTGTTCCAGTAAAAATTAAAAGAAGTTTTGAGTATGAAATGAGAATGAATCTCGATTGTTGAATTTGAAGATGTTACATTGTCAAAGCTTTCATGTAGCATAATGTTATACTTAGTGGTGACATTTTATTGATACATATATAATTTGAGAAATCTGTGTTGCACTGGTTACAAATGCATTCAAATGCATCATATATAAACCTTCTTGCTCTCATCTCCATTCTATCAACTAGAGAGGTGCACGTATCTCACCTTTCAAATTTTCACTTATGTTGACACATACGTACAAAAGGTTGAAAAAGACAATAAACACCTTGAGCGTTATGTAAATGTTATTGCTCACATGCACAAAGGTTACTATGAACATTTGACAACCATTAATATGGCTCATAATAACTCACTCTTAGCAAGAGGTGTGTTCTTATTCATTATATAATACTCCGTTTAACAATAGCTACAGGTAGGTGCATGAAAGACGTACTCGATCATGAACCTATATGTAGAATGTAATACTCCCTTCATCCCTTAAAACTTTTTCAAATTTGACCACCATGAGGATTTATGCAAATAATAATATGTACGGAGTAGTAATATACTAATATCAATGTTCTAAAAGGCGCTAGGCGCTAGTCGGGCGCCAACACAGCGCCTAGCGCCTAGGCGGCTAGGCGGGTGCCTAGGCGGGGATTAATCGGAGACATGAAAATTATAGTTTTATTAATATTTTTGCATAAATATGACTAGTAATGTTGCGTTTATGTGTATATAAAATAAAAACACACACATACACACTAACATGCATGAATGGTAAGTGTTTTCACATTTAATAACATATTACACATACTTACTTCTTAACTTCAAGTAATTCTACGTAATAATTATTAATAAATAATAATAACACTTAAGAATATATATAAAAACATGTATAGTATTTATTTTAATTCTTCATATGTGTTACGTTGTTAGAGTTAAAGATACATATATCTCTTAGAATACTAAACTAAAAAGCAAAATAAAATTTTCGATGAATCTAGATGCCTAGACGGCCGATTAAGCGCTCTAGGCGGGTAGTTAGGCGCCTAAGGCGGCCGACTAATTCACCTAGGCGCCAGATCAATTAGTCGGAGCGCCTAGACTAAAATCGGGGCGCCCGATTACCGCCTAGCGCCTAAGCGGGGACTAATCGGGCGCCTAGAGCGATTTTTAGAACCATGATTATACTTCGTATATACGTAGTATATACTAAGCTAGTTTATTGTTTCATATTAAGCATGTGCGGAACAAATCTGTCAAAGCATTAAAACTCGAGGTAAAATCCTTAAAATACCTAAGGGAATACACTAAAATCTTATAGTTTAGTTTATTGTTTAATATTTAGAAGGTGTGGGGTCATCATTCATGATGTATGTTTGCTACTCCGTATAATATACTCCGTAATACTCGATACTAAAAAGTGAACATAGTATTTGACTATTTGTAACATCCAGAAATAACGTTTTATTGTACCTTTTGATAAATTAATTAATTTCATCTCATCGAAGTAACTCTTTCTTTATGTACCTTTTGAAAAAACTAATGTTGTTTAAATTTTATAATTGCAGACAATCTTGTACGTTGAATTATATGTAAGTATACCACTATCACTACAAAACAAATACTGTAACGAAATTGGCACGAAACTGACATGGATTAATTGACTTTGGCACAGACCATAACATATTTCTAGCACGGTTCCGTGTCAAATAGCTCGTTACAAAGTGACGTTTGCACGGAATTGACGGGTTCATGCTAAATCCACACTAAATCCCCTTTGAACTATTTGGCGAATCCGTGCCAAAGATCTATGTCACATCATGCCAATTCCGTTATTTTTTGTGCTGTATTCTCCTTAATTTCCATTTCATTAGCAATTTATAAGCAAAAGATTGAATCTTGATTTGGATTCAAACAAATTGCAGTGTTCTTGCATTGAATTCTTGATCATGATGGGTGATAACTTATCAGCTCTCTACCCCAGTATACACATGGCTTTAGGAGGCTTTCATTTTGGCTCTTACCAAACGTCTGTTATTATCTCCACCCTTGTGATACTTCCTACTGTTATGCTGCGAAACCTTAGTTTGCTCTCATACATTTCTGCCGGAGGGGTGATTGCGTTTATCATGATCATTCTTTGCTTGTTATGGGTTGGGTTGCTAAGTGACATTGAGTTTCATCCAAGTGGGAACATTTTCAACTTCTCAAAGTTGCCTGTGACGATCGGTATATACAGTTTCTGCTTTGGTGGCCATTCAGTTTTTCCAAGTATCTATTCCTCCATGAGAGAACCTTCAAGGTTCCCTTCTGTGGTTTTAATAAGGTAAACTATGTATTGTTGAAGTTTTTTAGATGGATGATTCAACAGATAGATTAACTATCTGTCTATCTGTCAAACACTCGAAAGGTAAAAGTTATTAATTTACGATCCAAATGATTGAAAAAACTTAATATAGCTAGGATGACTAACATTTAAGACAAATTCTAGATGTAACCCATTTTGTTTACCTCATTCGCACACACTGTCTGTCTATGTGAACAGAGTCTGTATACCGACAACTCTGTTTGTGTAGATAGACAACGTGTACAAATGAGGTACTATACACAAAGTGGGGCACACCTAGCATTTCTCAACATTTAATTTCATAAATTTTGATTTCTATATATTTTATTTAAAATTATCTTAAATGTTTGAACTTTTTCGTGAAAGAATTATAAATTATACCCCGTAACACAATTGTAGGTCGTAATAAAGAATATTTAAATCAATTAAGCAATAATAGTCAACACTTAGGATCATTAAAACTTAGATTAATAATGTATGATCATTCAAGTCTTAGATTCACAGTTTTATTTGGAATACTTGATTGATAAGTGATAACTAATCTATTTTTCAACTCTTAAGTTTAAACTCTTTAAACTATTCATGGTTGCATCCTAAAAATTACTCCGTAGCATTGTAGAGCAAACATGTGAAAACGCTTTAATTCAATTGTTTAGATAACGTACACGACATGAGTAAATAGGGCCATATAGTAGGCTACCTAAATCATCAAACAAGCAAACCACTGTTACTCTAATACCATATTCAGATCTTAAAATTGACCATACAAGAATTTTAAAACCATATACCTCATTCATTCTTTGTTTTATGTATAAAAATTTGAATTTCACGTTATCCAATGTATGACTTTTGCTATTAATAGACTACTAGTAAAAGTTACGTAGTACTCCCTCCGTCCCGCTAAGATTGTCTCATTTTACCTTTTCGGGAAGTCCCACTAAGATTGTCTCATACCAAATTTGGTAAAGTTTGTGTGGCTCTAAATCATTCTTACTTTATTCTTACTTTATCAATTTAATATCAACCACACAAACTCACTTTTCTTAATAACCGTGTCACCTTCTCATGTCCCAATCTTAGTGGGATGGAGGTAGTATAAGCTAAGCAAAATCATAGGAGTAATTTAAAATTTTACTTTGAGACAAGTTATAATATTTTTTATAATATACTTTGTAAATATATTAATAAATACATAGTAAAATTTAAGACTGTATAAATACTTTATACTTGGCCATTTAATGTGTGTCCAAGTTGGGCAAACTAATTTTTGTTTGTAAATTGGGTAAACTAATTTTTGTTTTTAAATGGCAGCTTCTTAATTGCCTTTATTTCATTTGCTGGAGTTGCAATATTTGGCTTTCTAATGTTTGGCGAAGCTACGAAATCACAATTCACTTTGAACATGCCAGAGCGACATATAGCTTCAAAAGTAGCAAAATGGACGGTGGTATGTGACATTTAATTTATATCATATGATGATGATGATATATAGATGGGCAACACATTTATTATTGATATTATTATTAGGTTATGTCTCACCAAACACGGTACCGTTTTAATTTGTTACAGGTAATAACTCCGCTGACAAAATATGCATTGACAATTACTCCAGTGGCATTTAGCATAGAGGAATTCTTGCCCTCCCATCATCGCAAATCACACTGCGTTTCCATACTCATCAGAACGGCTTTAGTCATTTCTACCCTCCTCGTCTCGCTCCTTATTCCATACTTTGGTAAGGCTAAGTGCAATTAATTATTATAGCCCATTTAGTGACCCTATTTTTTGACTTGTCAATCAATTTTTTATCAAACACAAAACTTTTGGTTATAAATTTCAGCAGAATCAATCGATTCAGCCAATTTTAATATTACCAAACGGGCTCTAAGAAGAGAAGAAAACGATATACGGAGTACTATCGTACATAAATATGTTATATACTTCGTATTGGGAGGATATACTACGAGCTTGTTTGGAGACATGAAATTAGATGAATCGCTGAATTTACTGAAATTGATGAAATTCTAGCTGAAGTGGCTGAATTGTGAAAATATTAAAATATTTAAAAAAGTTGTGGATAAAATTAAGAAAACATTATATGAGCAAATATAAAAAATGATCCAGTAACTTTAGCCAATTCAACCTGAAAAATAACTTTAACCTTACTTATTTTGACAATTACATAATTGAGCGCCAATTAAAAAGTTCATGTTCGATAAAAAAAAAATCATGTTCATGTTCGATAAAAAAATGAGTGATAGGCCTGTTAGTTCAACTCAAAACAGGGATTACCAAACAACTCTATATAAAACACATATACTTCTCAACTCTCTTAAATTTGGAACCATTACACACACAAATTATAAAAATAGAACGTAACATGTGTGCCAAAAATAAAACCATTGCTAAATTGTTAAAAAAAAATGGGGATGGTTTACCAAATTGGTCAAATAAAATCTTCCGAGATACCATATATTAATAAACAAATAAAAAAGCTACTGCGACAAATTGCTCAATTTTTATGATTGAGGCATTTATTGTATTGACTTCAAAATTCCCGACATTTAAACCCCTATTATTGTAAAATTGACATTTTCAGACCTTCTATTTTGATTTTGTAATGAAAAGTGGATGACTAAAAATATCAACGACCGTGGTAGATAATCAGCAGGACTGCTAGCTAATAGTTGGTTGAATCAGCAAATTGATACTAGTGAATTTCGTTAGCTTTATTAACTAACCACTTTCATTAGTGATTTGAAATACAAATGTTAGTAACTTAGCTGTTTGCAATTAGTTGTTAAGACATATGAATCCATCTATTCCAAAATTATACTCCATATAAAAATTATACTTTATATAGAATACTTTTTCTATTATATATAAATTAGAATGTATATGTTTGTGCTCGTGTGAATGTACATATGTTAAAAATGAGAGTCGTAGTAGTTATTTATATAAACGTAAATATAATTTTTAAAACTTTTTCCAAGGCTTATAAAAAATAAAAGAATTAAAATAAAGTTAAATATATATACTTTTAAATTCTTAACAACTAATTACGAACAACTATTTTACTAACATTTTATTTCAAACCGCTAATGAAAGTGGTTAATTAAAAAAGTTAATAGAAATTGCTAGTGTATTAATTGTGAATTAATACAAGGTTGGTCGTTGACCGTAAAGTCGTGTGCCTATATTCTACGTGTGTGTTAAAGGGTTGCGTTCATATTGTCAATTAAGTGTTTTGTCGCGGCATTGGCGGGGGAGGTTGACTGTCTTAAGAGGATAAGGCAGGTCGTACATGGTGAAAATTCTAGACGTGAATTTTACCGTGTAACAATTGGTAGCTAATAGTCAACTGCTATTATCAAACACAACTGTTAACAATTTCAGTCCATTTTTCACGACAAAATCACAGTAGGACTCAAAATGTCAATTTCACACTATTTAGTGAATGAAATGTCGAGAATTCTAAAGTCGAGGACCAAAAGTGTCTCACTCACAAAAAATTGACCAATTTATCACTCGGGCTTTTTGGTTACCAATATGTCTTCGAAGTTTTTTTTGCTAATTTACCATCATCTTATTTTTATTGCCAATTTGGTAATTTGGCCCAAGTTTGTGTTATTTCCAAATATTTCACGAGTATATATATTTTTTGTTACATATATAGTTGAAGAGAATATTTATTCGAATTTTATTTGATTTGTTTTAATTTATTAATAATGTTGAAGGATAGGTATGTTCTCATGCATATACTTTTATATTGAACAAAAAATGTTACTTTTATACTGTAGTGATCATAAAAATTCTAAATTTTACATCGTATTGATTATGACGGTATATTGAGAGTAAGTTAAGACTCATTAGTTAATTTACTTCTAAAGCTCATTAGAATTTCATTAAAAAATAATGGGAAAACTGTCAAATAGTTCCTCGAACTTTCATAAAAATGTAATTAAGTCCTTCTATAGGAGGTTTTGTCCGGCCGTCGCGATTTGGGGCAGTTCCCGGTGGAATTTTTTGATGAATTTTTTTGAGCGTCTTATTCACCAAGTCTAGTTTACTCATACCAAATTTCAGCTAAAAATTCAATCGGGAACACATTCAAATTAATTCTTGAAGATAACTGCTCATTTTTGCGTTCTCGAATTAATTTGAATGCGCTCTCAATTAAATTTTTAGCTGAAATTTGGTATGAGTAAACTAGACTTGATTAATAAGATGCTAAAAAAATTCATCAAAAAATTGCACCGGGAACCGCCCCAAATCGCGACGACCGGACAGAGTCTCCTATAGAAGGACTTAATTGACTTTTTTATGAAAGTTCGAGGACCTATTTGACAATTTTCCCAAAAATAATTGGGTAATAAGAATCTGAAATTTCTACCATCCGTATATGTTGTACCCCGTAACAATATCCAATATTGACTGTAGGTTCTGTCACTGCCTTGATTGGATCTGCATTGGTAGTGCTGGTGGTAAGTTTTTTTTTACCGACCTCTAATTACAAGAACAAGTATAGTCAATATGGTCAAGAGCATGCACTGAAGAACATTCCAATTTAGATTTGCTTTGGTGATTTGATTCTTTGCAGTCACTTATCCTTCCATGTGCATGCTACATCAAAATCAACAAAGACAGAATAACAAAGACTGAGGTCACTTCTTTCTTTCGTTCTTACCTCTTAACCGCACATCTTTTTTGTTTTGTTTCACGCTTAACTACTCCATTTTATCTCTCTAAATTTGCGTTTTAGATCGTTCAAAATGAATGTCACATTTTTTGAAAACTGATTCACAACATTTCACTTTATTATGTTTAATTTTTTACCATAATTTTTATTTTTTCAACAATTTTATTAATAATTACGTCAAATCAAAACACTTAAACAAAACACATAAAACGGGACGTAGGTAGAGTAGTAATGAGTGGAGACGGGGATGTTGACAGAGCCCCCTCCCCTAGAAAAATATCTCACCTAATAAAAGATGCTCGTTATTAACTATGGAGTATCCCATTGGTGTTGTGCCCTCAAGGATGAAGTGTTCTGCTTTTTTTTTCAATCGAAAAATCCTCTTAGACAAGCAATTCGCTCAGGAACTGCCTTGTAAACAGACTATAGATGTACATCATATGTGTACAAAAAATGTCTACGGCCAAATATTGCTCTTTTTTGAACTGTTGAGGATATGGGATTTGACATTTTTTGTTTTTGTTATTTCAGATTGGAGCATGTACTTTCATTATAATTCTTGGATTGATATCTTCAATTGTCGGCACATATTCAGCACTTCATAGTATGTCTGGTTAGTTCTACCTAAGCTTCAAGACAGCAGCATGTATCAGGAGACTGTAAAGTCAACTTTCAAAATGAAAGTCAAACATACAGAGATTTTTTGTCTGATTCATGAACCTGCAAATAGGATCATCACCGGACACCGGATGCCCCTTTTTGTCTTTTCATTTTCTCCTTTCATTTGTTTTTGGTTTTTTCTTAGTTTTGGGGGTTGATGCCAGCTTGTAGTGTATACTGAAATTTCCATTTCGGAAATTGAAAGTATATTTTCCTTTGTCAAAGTAAATAGGCAAAAAGTACTTACGGCCATGATTTTGGATTTTTGGCCACAATTTCTATATATACTGTCTGTCTTTTTCTGAGCTCCCAGGAATGAGTACCGCATAATTTCACTCCGTACAAAAGTTTGAATATATACTACTCCCTCCTTTCCTAATTTATCTTGGCAAATACAAATGACAAGGAGATTGATAATGGATGGTGTGTAAGGAAGAGTTATGTAGAGAAGGGAGAAGTGTGTAATAGTGTGCAAGAAATGATGTGAATTACAATTTTTTGTCAAAAAAGAAAAGTGGAGACAATTTTAAAATGGACAAAAAAGGAATGTTTGTAGATAATATTAGGACGGAGGGAGTAATACGTACTTCTTTTATGGAAGGTAAACTTATATAGACGTTTGCAAAATTGTTTTGTACATCATTAGAGGTGCATTCCCCAATCGTATTATGGAAGGTAAACATATATAGACGTTTGCAAAATTTTGTACATCATTAGAGGTGCATTCCCCCAATCGTATGAGAAAGATTCCTTTGAATCTTCATCGATCTCATTGATTTCAATAGTTAAATTATACTAATTTCATCTCACTCAACTTTGTCAAATTGATGTTAGGTGTGAAATTAAAATAGTAAAAATTGTGCGGTTAGGGTTTGTATAGTGTAGAAAGAAATAACAAAGTCGAGAATTCATTACTTTAAGAAGAAAATAACAAAGTTTTTTAGACAAACAAATAAGAAAAGTTGGCAGAGGCGAGTGTGACATAAGGATTCGTGTGAGATGAGAAAATAAAAAATTGATTATTCAGAGTTGCATGTGTAAAACGGAGAGATAGAAGTCATGTTACAAATTATTTACTTTAAATGAAAGTGACAAAATATTTGAATAGAAGAAAGAAAATTAGTGAAATTTGATGAGAGTATTTAAACCGAAGATGAAAATTAAGAATATTTTCATTGGTGAATTCTTGGTTGTACAGGTAAAATTAAAATTGATATTTTATGAGATAAAATTAAAATTGATATTTAATTCTGATTTATTTAAACTTGAGATATTACCCGAAATAGGACTAAAAAGTTTGAAAATTCCAAAATAGGACTTCCATGTTTTTATTCCCAAAATAGGACTAATTACTGTCATGTTTTGGCAGTACCAGACTTCAAACATGGCAGTATTTTCCAAATTTGGCAATAATTAGTCCTATTTTGGGAATAAAAACATGGCAGACCTATTTTGGAATTTTCAAACTTTTTTAGTCCTATTTCGGGAACTTTCCCTTTAAACTTACTCAAGTCTTGTAGATGTATTGTCTCTATGTATTTTACAGTTGTCGAATTCTAGCCTGATTTGGTTTGTCTTGTTTAAATATGGTTTGGTTCGACATGGTCTAGCTAGTTTGGTTTAGTTTGAAGAGTATCACCCGATGTAGGACTAAAAAGGTTTCAAAATTCCAAAATAGGATTGTCATGTTTTTATTCCCAATATAGGACTAAGGACTAATTACTGTCATGTTTTGGCAATACCAGACTTCAAACATGACAGTATTTTCCAAACTTGACAGTAATTACTCCTATTTTGGAAATAAAAAACATGACAGTCCTATTTTGGAATTTTCAAATTGTTTTAGTCCTATTTCGGGAACTTTACCTTTAGTTTGATATTGAAATATGTATAATTAAAAACAATCTATATGCTCATAAGCTTAAAATACTTCTCCCATTAAACCCAGTAAATATAAAGCTAAATATATACGGAGTACTGCTCCGAGTTAGTTAAATACAGTGTGAGAATCAAATATGATTCAATGTGTGTGTTTTATTCAGTAACTTGAACAAAGAAAATATCGTCAAAAATTTGTTGAAAAATATATTGACATATACGATAGTAAGAAACATGTAAGTACGCATACGTGTATAATACGACATCTTTTTAGAAAAGTTCGGGTTAAAAATATGAGTCCAATTTTGGTGCCATAGCCTTCCGTTTAAACAACATAGCCTACTTTTTCGTTTAAAATGATTATTTTTTTGTTAAAAGTAAGGATACGCGTGTAAAAAGTATAAAACGCGTATAGGGCACAAAAAAACTAACTATCTTGTCGTCGATGCATGTGGCCTTTAATGTTTGTGCCACATTCTCTTACATTTAAAGTTTGTGTCACATATCTTACATATTAAGGCTGAGTACGAACCTGGGATTTCATATTTCGTATATTTATTATATATACGAAATACTGTTGAGGGCTTAATTAAGTACTGTTTTGGAAGAAAAATCTTAAACAATACTTACTCTGTATTAATTTGTTTAGTTCGTAGATGACTCGGTGTTTTTCTACTATTTTGAGCACGAAAAGAATGAGAAGGTAGCTCGAATAAATTGAGACGGAATTGAAGGAAAGTGTCTCTTTTTTTTTAAGGAAAAACTGCTTATATCAATATCATTAGGATTTAGATGGTTACATTAAACTCCAAGAGACCAACACTGACAACAATTATCCGTAACCAACTATCACTATTAACCATACGGCTAGACTTAGAAACGATCACCCCTGAAAGAGCATTACAAATTGCTAACCACCAAACGGGTGTGACACAGTAATCACTGAACATATAGATCGATCCCTTTGACAACATAATACCTAGCAGAATTGTAAATCATTATTGTTGACCTAAAATTAAAGACATCAACAAAATGGCTAGACTTAGAAACGATCACCCCTGAAAGATCAATATGAATCGCTTACCACCAAACGGGTGTGACATAGCAATCACCGGTCATATAGATCCTTCTAACGACATAATATCTAACAGAATTGCCAATCATTATTGTACACCTAAAATTAACATAACTATATATACTATTAACAAACTATATTTATTGATAAACTATGTAGGTTTCTCTCCCTCGCAAGTGCGGTGTAGGGCTTTTCATGTGCCGAGTCCAATCGTGTGTCTTTTCATCCGTCGAGTCCAATCATGCGGCTTTTCCCTGGCTTTAATCCAAATTCATTTTTGTTTTGGATTTATAGTTAATTGTTCACATATTGTTTAGCTAGTTCGTAGTTTTCAGGGATTTAATCGCAGGAACAGTGATGACTTCGAAGCAAAGCCGGGCAAGTTTTTTGGATTGGCAGAAGGCGCAACTTAATTGTCTATGATAGGGTTTTGGTGCCGCGATCTATTTGGTCGACGTGACTAGGTTTTGAGCAGTTGTTTTCTTCTTGTGATTGCAACGAAAGGGAAGAATGCAGGAGGATCAAGGATGCATGGTTGAGGCAGAGCTAGGCTGGTGGACTGGTTCCCTCTGCGAGAAGGCGTGCGGCTGCCAATAGGAAGGGGGGCTTTGGTGGCGGTGTTGCAATTTAGGGGCTGAGTGGACCAAGGAGCGATTGTGAGGCACAAGGCTGGGGTAGGGTGATGCGGACAGTGGCAGACTTGATGACCCGGCCTCCTCCTGAACCACTTCCATGGAGTGAATGTGTGTCTAGGGCGGTTTAGAAAAAGAAGATTCAAGTTTGCTTTATTTTTATTATTTCAAGTTTTATTTTTCTTTCGTTAGACAATTTATTTGGCTCTTGGATTGTTTGTGTTCGTGATAGGTTTGCGATGTCTAATTTTGTTACTATCAAGGGTAATTGCTTCGAAACTCTCATATGTTCAGCGAAACGCTTTGCTCAGTTTTGGGTAATCTTTTCTCTGTCTGATCAGGAATGAAAAGGATCATTTGATTCTTATGAGTCTAGTGAAGTGGTGATGATTACGATGACCTTAAAAGTCTAAAAGTAGTCGGTGTTGCCTGTTTGGTGGTCCGCGATTCATGTTGCTTCTTCGGATGTGCCGTCTCAGAGTTTGATCATAGGGCGTCTCTTGAGTCTAGATGTTGCTCTTGAGTCAACTATTGCTTGATTGTAACTCTTGATTCATTTGATATTTAAATATAAGTCTAGTTTTCCTTTCAAAAAACAAGCAAACTATATTTTTGAGCCTCTGGAACAACTTCCTACTTTCCTTTAATAGATGTCCCAAAATTAACTTCACACTTCAATACTTTCCTTATTTGGCAAATTATCTACATTAAAAAAGTGATAAACAGTGTCAAACAGTGTTTAAACAGTGCAAAACAAAATGTACGTATGTGAAAGTCCAACTGTGAAGTTGTTTTCGGGACGGAGGGAGTATTATTCAGCGTGTGAAATCAAAATATACGTATTTAACAAAAAAAATTGACTGATAAGCTCATGACCCACAGAACAGAGCTATCAAATGGGTGTCTATGTATCATGATACGGACTAATTACGTTTTCATATACTACCCCAACAAACCTAAGATGCAGATTTATTCACGTTTGTCAAAAAAAATTGTTCTATATAAATATTCAATGCATTAGATCGGTGAACACGAACATGAGCACAGGACCGCGCCGGTCCCAAAATGACGTAATTAATGAGGTTTTTCTTGCACTGTTGATTAAAGACTTTGTAACTAGTTAACATGATTAAAAGTTTCTTATGGTTCTAAAGGTTAATATACAGCAAGAAAGGTAAAATAGATAAAATCACATAATAATGACAGACTAGCCTTTGATAAACCCGGCCCTTAATTAGCATGTGTGAAAATGGTTACATGTTAGATTAATGGGGTGTTTAAATTGTTTTGGGGTGCTTTCACAAACAAATCACACTCTACGGTTCTTGATTTTCTGACCAAAATTTGAGGCTAGTTCTTAGTTAATCTTGTTTATTATATACATTATAACTCAATTTCTTCTTTCTCTAACGCAATAAATAATGTACTGTTGGTAGAAATGAAACTGGTCACACTAATTAAAATTCAATTTCATATAACTCAATTTCAAATATCCTTGTTCAAACAAATGGATGTTCTTATTTGGATTTATTCTAGTCCTATATCAAATTAGACTAGACATAAAATACGTTAATTAGCAGGCCAGATTAGGCCATATTGGACTTCAACAGTTGTATAATTCAAAGACACTAGACATCAACCTAATCAAATCAGTTTAGATCAGACTTTAACAAATCAGACCAGAAAGTTTCAATGCAAACAAAACTTTCATACATAGTAAGGATGTTTTTACTTAAACTGTTTTCAGTCCCAGACCAGATCAGACTTAAACAG